CGGGAAATTAATAGGAAAAAATTATAGCTTCGTTGTTTTTCAACGTATTTTTATCTACTCTGAGATATACGTTTTTTTTATTATTTTAGAATTTTGGTATAAATTTCATAAAAATCGGGCAACTATATCATATAGCTGCCATATAAACCGATCGGTAAATGAATAAAATATGTAAAGCTGGGAATGTAAAACTGTAACTGTCAAACTGTAAACATAATAAGTATAGGTAAAATGTAATGAAACTCTGTTTTGTGAGTGTTTTCATTTAAATCTATAATATAAACATCAAAACCAATCTGCAAGGGTATACAAACTTCGGCGTGCCGAAGTTAGCTTCCTTTCTTGTTTACTTATTAATATAAAGGTTAAGTGTTAAAAAAATGAATTTAAAACATTTGTTGAATTTAATTTATTTATTACCGTACAAGTGTCAATAAGAGGAAACCAGTCATATATGGGCGGCTAGAGAAGGCGTGGTCAGATCGGTCTGAAAATTACATATATTTTTATGTGTATTGACACTATCATATGTACCAAATTTGAAGAGTCTAGCTTAAAAACTTTAATTTTCGTCGAAATATCGGCTCGCTGGCCAATGTGCATTGTCGGAACTTCCTATTTATTGGAATCATCTTTCCGCTATTCAGTTGGTCTCAAAAAGACTTTCGGATAGGGACCATTTAGTAGTTCTTGGTGATTTTAACATCCCAGGGGCTATTTGGTCCCTAGATAATTCCACTAACACACTTCTTACCACAACACATCATGATTTTATTGCTGGCTTGTTTGACATTTCGCTGTCCCAAGTCAACCATGTACGAAATTCCTTAGAGCGCTTGCTTGATCTTTGTTTTGTCTCTGATCCGGCAAGAGTTAGTTTAGTGGCGCCCCTGAAGCAAACCGAATATCCCTATCATCCCACTTTCGATGTGACTATCGACACGGGGACTGTTTCATGGAATACATCTGACTGTTCTGCCCAAGAAGTCTTCTGTTTTAGCAAGACGGATTTCGTACGGCTGAATAATTTTATAATTGATTACAACTGGTCCGATCTATACACATGCACTGACATGGCGGAAGCCGTGGATATTTTTTATCGTACTATGAATTCATTTCTTATTAAATGTGTTCCGTTATACTGTCCGTCTACATCAAAGAAGCCTCCTTGGTTTACCAAAGAGTTGACCCGCCTCAAAAATAGAAAATCAAATCTGTATCAACGTACCGGTTCTCCGATTGTCCTATCTAGTTATTTATCAGCTCGATCCACTTTTACCGTGTATAACGCGCAGTGCTACAATAATTATTTGACTCGTTGCAGGTCCCAGTTTTCTGAGGACCCAAAACAGTTTTATAATTTTGTTAAATCTAAGCGTCAACCCCTTACTCATCCGTCCTCGCTCTCTTTTGGTAATTCAACAGCAGATAATGATCAGGCAATAGCCGATCTTTTTGCTCAGTTTTTTGAAACCACTTACTCCAACTCAATAGACCCAAATCAGGCTTATCCTTACATCATCCCCAAATCGAACCAAATCTTCAGTCCTACAAGCTCTCTTCTTAGGGATCTTCATCGTGTTAAGCCAGTTTTTTTACCAGGTCCCGACGGAATACCAGGCTGTGTGCTTAGGAATTGTGCCGAAGCCCTGTGCAATCCACTTCTCAAATTGTTTACCTTAACCTTCCACTTTCCCCTTATTTGGAAGGAATCATTCGTTATGGAGGCCAACAATTATAGAGGAATCTGTAAGTTAGCGGCCATCCCAAAACTGTTCGAAAATGTCATTTCTCCTCATTTGCAACACCTGCGTAGATCAAATATGATTTCAGTAAAGCATTTGACTCTGTTAACCATTCTCTTCTTGTTCGGAAACTCGATCTTATGTTATCTAAATGGCAGGACGCAAAAGATTCTCTTTAAAAATAAACTATTTAATGTTCTTAGGGTTACATCTGGCGTCCTGCATGGGAGTCATTTGGGTCACCAATTGTTTACATTATTTATCATCGATCTGCCCAAAGTTTTGACCAACTCCAGAGTACTTATGTACGCTGATGACGTCAAGCTTTGTGTGCAATATAACGACACTACTTGACAATCAGACTTACAGACAGATGTTAACCATTTTTAAACATAGTGCCGCGTGAACTTATTAAACTTAAATGGCTCTAAATGCAAGCTAATGACATTCTCCCGTGTCGTTCCTAAGCCTGCAACTTATCCGCTAAGCTGCTGCTCTTTGAAAAAAATTAATATAGTTGATGATTTAGGTGTCCGTCTGGATCCTAAAACATGACTTTATCGATCATATTTCGTGCATGGTGAATAAAGCCAGGGGTGTGCTTGGTTTCATTAAGCGGTGGTCGAAGGAATTTAATGACCCCTGTGTTATAAAATCTTTATATACTTCACTTGTTCGTCCTATCTTAGAATATGCGATTGAAGCCTTCAGTATGGCGTCCACAGTAAACGCATAGAATCGCTTCAAAAGAACTTCTTACCTTTCGCTTTACGCGGTTTAAACTGCAAACCAGAGGTTACCGTCTTATTCTAGTAGACTCTTACTAATTAACTTACCCTCTTTATCTAATCGTAGAACCATGCTAGGTATTTCATTCTTATATAACTTAATCCGTGGCGACGTGCTGGGTCAGCTAAATTTTCACGTACCAATAAGAAACACTAGATCCTTTATACCATTAGTTTTGCCCCACTGAAAAAACATATTTTTGAACAGCAAGAACCCTTTAGAGACCTCTGTGCAAATTATAATGACTTGTACTCCATAATATCTAATATTGATAGCCTCCCCAAACTAAAAACTTTAATCTTAACCTTAGCACTTAGTACGCCTGCAAGCAACCAATCCGGAAGCACGCCAGTAGTAGTTTCCTCGCATTCTTTTCTATTAATTTCCTTCGCGTCTACTAACTGCTAACAGAACAAGAACGTGCTATATTGCTCTACTCTGAGACCGGTTCGAAATCTCTTTCAGCAACCACACCTGCAACCAAAAAAAAATCTGAGATGAATCGTGGCCATCCCCAAGCAACCCAAACAACGGCAAACAGTCCCAAGTTTGCGGAGAAACGTACAGACGGAAACATAGACGGACAGACGGACATGGCTAGATCGACTCGGCTAATGATGTTGAGTAACAATAACTTTAAACATTGGATCGAAAATTATACTTTGCAAGGTATATAAAAAAAAATAATTCAACAAAATTATGAAATATTCATGAAATAAAATAAAATGCATTAAATTATTATTAGTCAAATAAGTAAAATAAAATAATAAATATACAACAAGAAAGGAAGCTAACTTCGGCACACCGAAGTTTGTATACCCTTGCAGATTGGTTTTGATGTTAATATTATAAATTTAAATGCTGAAAGCACTCACAAAACAGAGTTTAATTACATTTTACCTATACTTATTATGTTTACAGTTTGACAGTTACAGTTTTACATTCCCAGCTTTACATTTTCTCTACATTTACCGATCGTTTATATGGCAGCTATATGATATAGTTGTCCGATTTTCATACAATTTTTACCAAAATTCTGAAATAATAAAAGAAGCTTATATCTAAAATTAGATAAGAATATGTTGAAAAACAACGAAGTATAATTTTTTTCCTATTCATTTTCCGATCGTTCATATGGCAGCTATAAGATAGAGTCGTCCGATTTTCATAAAATTTTTACCAAAATTCTGGAATAATATAAAATTTCTCAAAAATGATGCAAAAATATTGAAAAACAGCCAGTTATAATTTTTTTTCTAAAAATTTATCGAACATTTGTATGGGAGCTATATGATATAGTCGTCCGATCCGGCCCGTTCCGACATATACAGCAGTGAGAGTATATAGAAGACTCTATGCAAAGTTTCATTCAGATAGCTTTAAAACTGAGGGACTAGTTTGCGTAGAAACGGACGGACAAACGGACGGACAGACGGACATGGCTAGATCGACTCGGCTGTTGATGCTGATCAAGAATATATATACTTTATAGGGTCGGAAACGTCTCCTTCACTGCGTTGCAAACTTCTGACTGAAATTATAATACCCTGCAAGGGTATAAAAATAAAAATGACAAGGTCATCAAAGTCATGTAAGCTGATGGTTGTTTCTGAATTTATTTGCTGTGTATAATCCGAAACCGGTATTAGATCGGCCTATCACGCCAGAACTTTGACATGTTTGAGGTTAAGTTATCGAAAAACGGCGTTTATTTTTTACTTTTGAGGTTATGTAGAAGGCGCAACATTTTTTCCATTTTTCAAGTTTAGTTCTTTAATACAACTTTTTTAATTTAAAGGGTCAGGATATATACATACGACTTTTTTTCGAGAAGTTTTGGCTGTTTGATATTTTTTCGTATTTTACTTGGATTGCAGTAAGCTTTTGAGACAATCACGTAATTTTAAATAGTCATAACTTAAAATAAAAATATAAAAAAATTAATTAATCTCTTGAACTTTAAAATTAATGAATAGGAAAATTGCAAATTATGTAACCGCATATTATGTAACCGGAGAGACAGACCAATTCAATTTTTTTCTGCAGAACCCTCAAAGTAGAAAAAACGCCGCTTTCAGGTACATTACCTCAAATTTCTCAAAATCCGTGATGGGCCTGTTCTGACTCCGAATTCGGATTCAAAGCACCAGATTACTTTAGAAATGACCCTCAGCTCAACAACTGAACCAGGTTAACTTGTGTGATGTTTAAAAGTATGATAATAATATTTTACTATTAAAATGCCAGCTCTATTGCAATAGTAATCATTGTTTAAAATACCACCACCAAAAAACAACTACGTTTGCGCAAAGGAAAAAAGAGCAAAAAAAAAGACATATTATAATAAAAAAAAAAAACGACAAGAAACTCATTCTCTCTCTCTCTTAAATATTTCTCAATTGTAACCCTTGCAGACCAGAGATGTGATTATAGCTTTTACCAAAGACATATTTTAATTGTTCTTACCTTAAGTGAATTTTTAACTCGATTAATTAAATCCATCTTAAAAAGACTTATCCACTGGCCTACTTGATTGAGCACCGCGGCCTTAAAACCAGTCATGTTCAGCCGCAAGAATACAAAGAAATCTTCATGCGTGTCCCAAGTACGTATTTGATCTTGTAACTCTATAAATCTATCAAGCTGTTCTTTATAAACCGAAAGTGGAGGATTCTCCATACCCAAAGGCTTAACCAATGAGCTACCTTCCTGGTCAGCCTCAGCATCGCGTTCGTCTAGAGTTAAGTTGCGACCGAATTTTTTTACTTCCGCCAAATAAATGCTTTTATCCCAAATCCATAAACTGGAGTACTCCATGTAGCCTTTTCCATGCACTCTAATAGCCTGTAGGGCGAGCTTTATTTTGTTCATAATTTCCTGACGTTGTTTATCCAACTCTGCTTTATCTTGAAGTTCGTCTGTAAAAAAATACATCATATCTACTTATTGAAAAAATGAGTTTTATAAACCTACCAATGAAATTTATAGGTTGTTGGCCAGTAACTTCAAAAGGATCTTGGGCTACACGATTTAATAAACCCATCATATTATTCATATCGTCAAGTAAAGTTTCAATGAAAAATGCGAATCCAGTTTTTGAGGAGGTATCAAGGTTTAAAAAGTAAACCACGTTAGGCTCCTGAAGCTCCATAAAGATTTCAAATATAGGAGTATTATTTTCAAATCGATTATCTACTTCCATTCGTAAGTATGTGCTGCTTGTTATAACAGCATCCACTAAGTTTTCAGCAATGTTTTCATCAACATACTTCTCGTAATCGCGGAACAGATTACGTTCTGCAATACTTACACCTTTAAGGAGTTCATAACGGTGAAAAGGTGTAATTATTTCCTCCTCACTTTCTGACTGTTCCTCTTCATATTCCTCTAAATCGTCTTCATCGTCAACCGTATCCCTCTTCTTTTTAAATTTTACACTTGTCATTGCAGAAAGGCTTTTAATAGGAGGCCAAATACCATCGCCCTCCTCATCTTCCTCGCCGTGCTCTCCGGGAGGTAGACTATACCTTCGTGGAATATCAAAAAAAAGTTTTAAGTTTATGTACATGAGAAGGTCAATAAGCCTCTGAGTGTTTGACGCCATTGCCGTTCGCATGCTTAAAATTGGCTCCCGTGGTTCTGTATGTAGTAAAAGCCGTGGATTAAGATCCTTGCGCTGGAATAGTGGAACTTTTCCCCAGGATTTTATACTTTCCTTAATGGCTTCAAGGTTTTCTTGAGCAGCAACTAAGCGGTCGTGCAAGTACTTAACCATTTTAAATATTATCACTATAAAGCGTTGACCTTAGAAAAAAAAAAAGTTCAATATATAGTAGACAAAGTAAAGAAATATCTTACTAAACAAACTCCATTTAATTGACTCCATTAGTGGCTTCATTTGTTCCTCTATCATTGCCATTTCAGCTGCAATCAATTGCTTTTCCGTTGGGTGTGCACGAGCGTGTGTGTCATTATACCACTCAGCAATGCGCATTAGCTTAATACGAGCTTGCTGCCGGATTAAAATTATATTCATATAAATAAAAACAATAAGTAACACGGATGTGGAAATTTCGTTAACCGTCTCAAAGCTTATTCAAAAGTTGAAATTTGTTTCTTACCCATTCCTTAAATTCTAATTAATACCATTACTTTTTTTAATAATCAGGAAAAGGCTACCTTGAGAGTCGAAGTTTGTTTTTCCTTCTAGTTTGCAATTGAATCATTTAAAATCGTTTAAATCCCTTGTCTTTATAATTCACCCAGACTAGAATCGTCGATTGCCCGTCAGGGCTCCCTGGCCTGTGTTCACCGGGTTAAGGGTAACCTAGCGTATAAGGAGATTCGGTTTCGTGCACTTCTAGCATTGCTCTTTGCTAAGCTCGTCGAATTGTCGTGGGTTTTTCCTTATCTTCCCTATATACACACTGCACTACGCGAAAGAAAAGTTTTAAGTGCACTAACTGTAATTTACAGTTCAAAAACAACAAGGATATAATCGGACTCTGACATACGCAGACGGACCAGTAAGCTAATCAAGAGAACACCAGGAGTAGGGGTGGCTTGCTGTTATTCGCCATCCCTTTCTGTACCCTCCCTGCCATGATAACTCGTGAGATTATGTTTGCGGTTATCCCTTAATCAAGGTTTATTATTATATTATAATTCACATTGCGGCAGCATCAAGATCTATTCACGAAAAACTAATTTAAACTACTCCAACATATTGGAAAAAAGATAAATAAATCAAACCAAAGAATTTCATAAATTCAATCATATTGGCCAATTGCCCAAAACAATAACAAAACTTTCGAAAATCGCATCATCTTATCGTCTACAAAATCTTATCCGCTCCTAAAATTCTTATCCTTACTTACGATATATTTAACTCCTAATCATATTGCTTCTAAAATTACTTTAATCGAATTGTAAAAATATTTAAATGTCACTCGACTAATTATACGGCGTTTAGTTATTTAAATGCAAAGTCAGAAATCAAAATGTTTTTATAAGGAGAGATCTCACTTACTCATAAATTCTGGTGAAGCAGGTTCGGTGGGCCCATCGAAGACGCTGTGCTAGATTTAATCAAAAATGTTGTTAACTTCTGACTAAAATGATTTTTGTGTTGCTCAATCAATCGATTCTAAATGTACATTACTTGAATACAAAAAAATTCTGTATGAGCAAATATCAAAGAAGTTAGCCTACAAATTTAGCGCTGTGGCTTCAAAACCCTAAACAAAGAAAATTATCTGCAGTACACGTCCAAATCGATTGGCTGCAGCTCTGCACATGGCGATGCCACCTTGCGGAATTCTCCTTCAAGTCTCCTAATCAATTCACCGCATACGAAGGGTTTGGCATCTTCGCATGCCAGACGGCAGGTCTGTTCTTCTTATTTCATCCCGTTCTGGGACATGGTGCCGCACGTCGCACGTGCGCGCAAAGTGTAGGTTAGCGTCGCCTCACACTCGTCTCTCCCTCCTAATTCGGCAGCAAAACCAACCGTCGCTCGATCGTTGTTGCTTCTGCAGGAGCTCCCAGCTCCTTCTCCTCCTCCTCGCGTTCCTTAGGGTAGCCTAACCCGCATGGGTATCCGACACCACGGGTGGGATGGATTGGCTGATTGGGAACGGCAGGTTGGATTAAGGTTAAATCCGAACCTCCATGTGGCTCACGGTTGTCGCGGCCGAAGTGTCGCGCAAAATGTTAGGTTATATCCGATTGGTGTTGGGCGTGCTCACGCGCAGGTCGATTCCAACCTCAAAACGTGGCAATCAGCACGCGGCATACGGCAGTTGTTGCGCCGATCTTGGCCAGCAACCTCCAAAGCGGTCCACCAACCGGTGACCAACACCCGAGAGGTGGCGTAATATTGCCGCTCTGGCGCTGAAGTTGTCGGCCGAAGTATCTTCCGTCTCTTTTCCTACACAAAAATATGCACTTAAACACTGCCTTTTCATTTGCACTTTTCACTGAAATATTTACCCCTTGTGCTGGGTTCGTTCCTCCGAAACTCCACCTGCATTAGTGAACTTCTTTTTCTTGCCCAGAAAACACTTTCGCATTCGACCTTCATCGACCGCTACGCGGGGTTTACTCTTGTAGTGTTTTTCATGGTAAAAAAGTAAATTCGGATCTCCAAACTACCTGCTGATAGTTAGGCCAAGCCCTACAGTGCGTATGACATACGGACACAAGTGCGTGAAACGTGTTTTTGAGCTGCAAAGTTCATTTATATGGTGCCACGCGTAACAAGCTCAAAATAATGAGCAGCGATCAAAAGAATGAGCGTAGAACCTCTGTAAACCAAAGAAACGATTGTTTCTCTTATTTCTCAACTCGCTATATCGAAGCAGAAAAAACGTCTACAAAGCCCAACCCGGCTCTACTAACCGCCGATGGCAACAGAGCGCGCTCTTGCTCACCCGCCCTAATCAATCAAACACCTAGATCTTGGAGCTACGAATGCCAAACCCCACCACCAGCGGCTTCGATGGAAGATGCACCAACAACAAGCAGTGCTACAATTCTTGCAAACGCAGCAAAAGCAACAAAAACAACTAAACCAACGACCAATATTGCAAAGTCAGTGCCAACGGCCGCCGCGCCAAATTCATTGGTAACAAAAACTGTGAGCTCCGATAAGCAACAAGCGGTTCTGGCCATACAGACTGGCATGGATCGCTACATCCAAATTAAGCGTAAGCTTAGCCCACATAACACGGTTGGTAACAAACCTGAGATCAACCGTGTCACCAAAAGCTACGATCCAAACAACTCTCCGCTAGCAGCTGGTGAGAATAACCAAGCAGAGCCGGTGCAGGAGACTCAAAAACAGCCAAAGCCCCCACCCATTTACATTAGGGAGAAAAGCTCAAACGCCCTGGTCAACAAAATTGTTGCGCTGGTCGGGGACGGAAACTTTCATGTTGTTCCGCTTATTAAAGGGAACATTTGCAAAACAAAAATTCAAACCAAAACAGAAGAACACCTCCGGGCTGTGTCTAAATACCTGGAAGAATCCAAAAAGAATTTTTACACCGACCAACTAAAAAGCAGCAAGGGACTGCAAGTCGTGTTAAAAGGAATTGAACCAGACGTCGCCCCTCTGAGATAGTGGAAGCCCTGAAAGGCAAGGGTTTCCTTGCCAAGAATGTCAGCAACATTATAAATAAAAACAAAAAGCCGCAACCACTTTTCAAAGTCGAACTGGAGCCAGAAAGTAAAACCCTGAAGAAGAATGAAGTTCACCCGATCTACAAGTTGCAGTTCCTATTGCATCGAAGAATCACCGTGGAAGAGCCGCACAAATGCAACGGTCCTGTGCAATGCACAAATTGCCAGGAGTAGGGACAGACAAGGACATACTGCACCCTTCCCTGCAAACAAAGAAGACCCAAAAACGAAAAAATGCAGAAACTGTGGAGGAAATCACACAGCTAACTACAGAGGCTGCGTGGTCTACAAGGAGCTGAAGAGTCGCATGCGACGCGCAACAGCTACACGCCAACAAAATACACAAAATGTGTATTATAATTCAAAAACTACTCTAGATTTATTTTTTGCCAAAGCAGCCAGATCCTCTTTTGGTCCGCTAAATGCCCCCCACGCGCATCTCCTACGCCGAAGCTCTACGGACAGGTATGCAAAATCCACTCCCCTCAAACTCAGTAAATGCTCAGCAGGCCCCAGGGCAGCCACAAAACAACCTGGAATCCATGATGGTGACCATGCAACAAAGTATGATGGAACTCATGTCATTTATGAAAACGACCATGCAAACGCTCGTCCAGAATCAGAATATGGTGATACAGCTGCTCGTAGCACAACAGTCAAAATAATCAATGTCCAATCTACGTATATCCACGTGGAATGCCAACGGCGTCTCACGGTATAAACTTGAACTAACACAATTTCTAAACGAAAACCACATCGACGCCATGCTACTGGTTGAAACGCACCTCACAAGCAGATACAACTTTCATATAAGAGGTTATAACTTCCACCGCACAGATCATCCAGATGGTAAAGCCCACGGCGGGACCGGCATCCTTATCAGAGAACGCATCAAACACCACCTCCACCAAAGGTTTGCAACAAATTACTTGCAAGCTACTTCCATTAAAGTGCAGTCAGGTAACGGCAACCTTTGCATTGCTGCTGTCAACTGCCCACCTCGCTTTACAATCTCTGAAGGCCAATTCATGGACTTTTACAACTCTCTTGGAGATCGTTTCATAGCTGCAGGAGATTACAACGCCAAGCACACGCATTGGGGATCCCGCCTCGTGACCCCCAAGGGAAGACAACGGTATAACGCTCTCATCAATGTGAGAAATGAACTGGACTACGTTTCCCCTGGTAGCCCCACCTATTGGCCAGCAGACCCCAGAAAGATACCAGATCTAATTAACTTCGCGGTGACAAAAAACATCCCACGCAATTTAATAAACGCCAAGGCTCTTCCAGACCTTTCTTCAGATCACTCGCCGCTATTGATAACCCTCCTTCAAAGCCCAATGCTACGGACCGCCCCTACAGGCTGACGTCGCACAGAACCAATTGGATGAAATACAAATAGTATGTGAGTTCCCACATTGAGCTAGCCCCCCAGCTCAATACAGAAGCCGACATCGACTCCTCCACCTCCGGTCTGGAAGAGGTACTTGTGACTGCAGCCAGGATCTCAACACCACAACAGAAGGATGTGCAAAAAATCAAATTCAAAACAGCTTATCCAAGAAAAGAGGCGTCTGCGACGGGCGTGGCAAAACCATTGATCGCTACACTCAAAGCAACGTCTAAATGAAGCCACACTCAAACTAAGCCGGGCCCTGAAGCAAGATGCCGAAAATGCACAATTACGATATATTGAGAAACTCTCGCCAACCAGCACAAAGCATTCCTTATGGAGAGCTCACCCAAATTTAAGCTCACCGACTGAAACCGTCACCCCGATAAGAAAGTCATCTGGTTGCTGGGCCCGCAGCGACAAAGACAGAGCCG